TGTTTTAAACAAAAGTAATGATAGAAAATAAAACACAATGGCGAACTTGTTCCAATTACTGGGTTAACTTCTAAATCGATCTTTCTAGAAGGCACTACGCTACTGAAATATTCTTTAAGCAGATGTCAATATGCCTATAGAGCTTGGAGATCCACAAAGTTTGCTCTGCACTAGATTTTGAAGGCAGCTGAGAGAGAGCTTACTTCAGGAGTCATATCGATGGTCATCATGATAGACATCAAAGTAGCCTTTGACGAAGCAAGTTTTGATAAGTTAAGATTTGCTCTAGCTGACTGAGAAATCTGTTCACTCATTATTGGATGAATTGATTTCATGCTAAGGTATAGAGCGATAAACCCACAAAATGGAAAACATACACTAAGATTAGAGTGAATGTAGGTGTGGAGGTCCACTAAGTTTCTGGCGACCAGGGTCTCTGATGAATCAAGATCGTCCATACGTGGTGCAGAGCCACACATTATGGCGGATTTACAGCAGAAAACTCGATAAAACCAGCAATCCTGGGTGTTTGAACGACCGCGCCCAAGGATGAATGGCACTGCGTGAGTCTGTCTTAGAATGGTGAATCCGGATACCTGGCAATCTTCGGTTTCAATTAGTCTTTTTAAAGTACAGGGGGCTATGCTTCGGATGACCTTTCTCCCCCCTACACTCGTCGAAGTACTAATAGAATCTTTTAAAAAACTAACAAATCGAAGAACAAATGCGGAACTAGCCACCAGTTCCAAATACAAGCTTCTGGTATCGGGTCAAAAAATTGAGCGAGTTAGAACCGACATTTCAGTTGATATGAGTAGTAGCAGACGCACTATGTCTACTTCTTCTATAACCGAAAAATCCAGAGATAAGGGCGCCAGCCATAGTGCACCTGCTGCAAAGGCAAAAAAGTCTGAAATAAAGATAAGACGTCAAAGATACCAGAATGTGATGTTCTTTCTTGGAAAGATTGCTAAAAATGAAGCTGAAGGTACAGAGCAAGCGTTTAATCGTACAGACAAAATACAACAGCAAAGGGTGAGGAATGAATAAAAGAAGTACCAGGCCAACGCACAGAAACCGCACATCAAGCTTTGACTCATCGGAAGTTGTGCGCGGTAGTAGGGTCTTTAAGTGCGACAACCAATTGCCCAAGAAACTTCTTGGTAACTGTATTGCTAAGGTAAATGGTGCATGGAATGGTTTAAGACTTTAGCTTATCCCAGCCAATGAAATTCCAAGACGACCAAAGGTTCGCACTTGGCAACCAATTCTGAAAATGAAGTACAGAAAAGTACAACAAGTAAAAGCAAAAAATGGTTTCCACTTTGGTGGAAAACGGAATTAAGCAATCTCTGGCAGAAATCGCGTAAACAGTTTAATTCAGGCTATAAAAGTATTAGCTGGCAGAAGTATAAAGATTGTCTTAAAACTTATAACAAAGCTATCAGGGAAGTCAAAAGTAATAGCTGAAAGGAACTCTTTAAGTCAATTGAATGAATTTTATCTTCTGCTAAGCTCAGCAAAGTTCTAGCTAAGGAAATTACAAACCCTTCTTATCTCAAGAAAGAGGATGGCATATGGACTACAAAATTTGCTGATACACTAAGATTACTATTAGATACTCACTATGAATATGATACTAAGAAAAATAGTTCAACCAAGTTGGCATGTACATCATCACAGGTGGCTGAAGCAATAGTCACAGTTTTTTTCTTTACAAATCGCCAGCTTGGAATAGTATCTTCCTTATTATGTTGAAAAAACTTTAAGAGTTAGTGGTGTCATGATTAGGGGAAATATATAAAGCATGTCTTAAATATAGTTATGCACCACTCAGTTGAAGGTTAGTAAAGGTCGTCTCTACACCCAAAGTAGGTAAATTCGGTCATGAGTCCGCTCTACATGAGGTTTTTCGTACTGTGGCAAAATCAATAAATCAATTTATTTTGATTAGTGACCTTTAGGTTAGCAACCTTTTTAGATATTGAGGGGATCTTCAATAATGTCTCCACTAAACTGTAGAGGAGGAGCTTAAAAATTGGGTACTTACTATACTTAAAATAAGGACTATTCTGTCAAAGTAAGGCAGCACATTCCAAATCAAACATTGTGGATAATATTCTTGATACACAAGATAAGATAGACGTGAAAGCTGTATGACATGGTTATATTAGTGTCGGGTATGCTCTCTAATATAATAAGCGATATCATGCAAAGGGGCAAAAGGGCTAAGTACTTAGGCCACAGCATGTGGACTAGGAATTAACCCATGAAAAACCGAAATTCACAACTAAAACCAAAATACCGCCTTTTAGGTGAATGGGCAACAGTTTAAACTATTGGAAAAAGTCAAATATCACAGAATTCTATTGGTTATTAAGTTAAACTAGAAACACAATGTCGATCGTCAAATTAAGAAGGCTTGTGTTGTCTTATTCTCTTGCAAAAGGATGTTTAGAAAAAAATGGAGGATTCGTTCCAATATTACACATTGGGCATACACAACTATTGTATGTCCAATTCTCACATATGGCGCTGTTATTTGGAGACCAGTTTTAAGTTCAGAGGACGGCATACATTGGCGTCACAGGAGCTTTTAGGACGACCCCTTCAGACGCTCTCAACGTGATACTGCACCTGCTACCTATCGGTCTGCACATAAAAAATATTGTTTGTAACAGCACTGTTAGCGTAAAAGTAACAGGCGTTTGATCTGAACGAATATATGGGCATGTTGGATTCTAGGTACACTTCCAAGCAGTCACTATAGAGTGACATCGAATTATTTGAATCGGTGCCTAGACTTTGAAAGAAATTTTTACACAATAATCCCTTCAAGAAATGAATGAAAAAAAAATCTTTTGAAGTAAGTTACGATATCTCAATCTATACAGATGACTCTAAAATGATCTAAGGGGCAGGAGCAGGGATCTTTACGCCATCCCAAAGCATAAACAATTCTCTAAAGCTACTTAATGAGGTCATAGTTTTTCAGATAGAATTCGTATCAATCAGAGAAACTTGTTGGCAAATTCCAAACCACATCAAGCACATCTGTAGTGTTGCCATTTTTATTGACAGTCAGTCAGCAATCAAAGCTATCACTGTGGTGAATCATTCATCACAAAATCACGGACAGTAAAACAATAAGTCACCTAAAACACGACTTAAATTCCAAAAATATAGCCTAAAGTATAAATTGTAAAGAATTTGCATAAGGAAAATGAAAGTCAATGCTGTCAGTCTCATACTAGCGTTTTATGCGTTTTTATGCGTTTTATTAAATTAATTAGAGCATACATAACACAATCGACAAGCTAAATTGGTTGGCTGACGTCACCCTCATATGGGTTCCTGGACATAGGAACATTGATAGGAACGAGAAACCTGTCAGTTCATGTTCCTAGCGGTACTGGTTTATATTAACCTAGACTACATAAAAAGAAGTATCTACTTCTACTTTCTTCGTTTTGACAATACGAGTAACAGATGAAAACCATTACAGTCATGTCCCACTTTCAGGCTAACATGACGAGGATGTATTTTTTATAATAAATATACATGAATTTTTTATAATAAAAATACATCCTCGGAATTGATCAAAAGAAACCACGTGAACACTGCACGACTTGGTGTGTAGGAACCCATGCAGAGAGACTGCACATTCCTCATAATCTTCACTGCAGTAATTGTGGAAACATACAGGAAAAAAACTATAAAAAATACACTCGTATATGCCCGGCTTTGGCGTCCAGAAGAAATAGCTTTTAAGAAAGATATTTCTTTAATCATTTATTAGGTTGTTTATCGGTAAACACAAAACAGCTATCAAATTCTCTAAATTCGAAAGAATGAATTTAATCTCTACTCTTCTATATTAGAAGTTCTTGCTAGGAATATGGTAGCAAAACGGCGAAAAATCGCTAATTGAGGCACATGGAAGTTATCTATGTACAGTTGCTCGCTACTGCAACCACTCAACCACCCAACCACATATACTCACAAATTACAAAATAGTGTACAAGTATGATATTGAGAACACAATCTCGGTTTTAAGCTCCATTCTGATTTCAGTAGCAGATCATTTCAGCCCTAAAGACAACAAAATTTACATATCCAATAAAGAACTAACAAATAGTGACATAGAGAATTTAATATAACAAAAACGTAGTTTAAGGGGTGAATGACTAAAATGCAGGTCTACTTCATCGAAAATCTTATTCAAGTATGCCCAAACGAGTCTTCGAACTGCATTAAGCAGGAAAACCAAACTCAGACAATATAACTATAGTCAAAATTTTTGTCCAAATGGCAAAAAACATACATCCTTATGGAATGCTAGCAAAAGTATCACTTCCTCCCATAGAATCCAATTCTCCAATAAGAAACTCTCTCGGAAACTGGACGCGAAGTGATGAAGAAAAATCCAACGTATTTGCTGATAACTTAAAAGACGTACTCCAACTAAATCCTGCAACCGGATATTATGACTTTCCCACTCAATCTCTTTATGCATTATCTATTGATATGAAGATTACAGCCAATGATCTTGTTCAAATAATCACCAACTAGTTAGACTGCAAAAAGTCACCGGGATATGAGAACATCTCATTCATCATGATAAAAACCTACGCCTTTTCGGTCATAAATTTTATCACAGAACTTTTTAATGCAATTATTCCATTTTACTTTTACAGAGTAAAAAACATCCATGGTTATTATGATTCATAAATGGTGTAAAGATCCCATTCTTGCCTCTTCATACAGCCCAATAAGCTTACTGCCATGTCTTTCTAAACTCTTTGAAAGAGCACTGCTTTTAGGTTTAGTTATTTTATTTTATATTAAACAATCTATAGTCAAAATAAAAATTGTAATATTATGTGATAGTAAAAAGATTTTAAAATTCATTGTAAGTCTCGTTATAAGAAAAGATATATGAAATAAATGTGAGTTCCAATAATAAATTTAATCATAAAATATAAAAAAACACATTATGGAAAATTAATCTATTGTTCTTTTTCATTTTCTAACTTCTTCAATAAAGTTTTTATTTCAAATGATATAAATAAATCTTGAAAAGTTTTCCTTTGGTTAAGAATGTCCAGAGTTTTGTACTTCTGTATTGAGTCAATCAATTTGGTTTCGATTTTCTTATTTTCTGCTGATAAATTAGCGATGTACTTATCCACAATATCGAACATTTCTACTAAGAACTTTGAAAAACTTTCTTCAATTTTCTTGTTTGCTTCCACAATGCCATTTTTTTCCAATGCTAAACCAATTAAAACATCTTCCATTGTTGGTGTTTCCAATAGTGTTATGTTATATTTATCCATATTATAATCTAACCGATTATAAAGCTGATCCAAAACATCCAAAAACTCATCCCTCTCTTTTGTGTCCAATGACTCGGCTTTTTTAACATAATTATCAAATTCCTCAACTTCTGAGCGTATGTATGCAGTATTCAATTTCTCAATAAAAGGCTCTTTTATCACAAGTTTATAAACCTTAATCGATTCCTGTATGGCTTCACGAGCATGCACATAATATTCGAGGTAAACTGATGCAAATACCTTAGAATGGTCATTGAATAAATTTTTTTTTTTCAGGTCCTCTTCCATAAACGATGAAAGTTTATTTTTGAACTCGTTCTGCTTCTGAAGTTGATTGAGATCCTCTAACGAATTTGACTCCGGTCGTGCAGCACACAACTAAAATAATTGGAATATTAAACATTTCATTTGCATTTTCCTTACTGGAAACTTACATGAACAACTGCAACTGTTCCAAGTAACAAAATAATAAGATTCTTATTCATAGTTAGAAGAATATCTGCTTCCAGGAATATAAGGATGAACTATTTATTTTTGACCAAATCAATGATCTAAGCTCTGCTGTCAGCTTTATAGCTTTAACGTAACTAAATATATCAGGCAGACATTATTTGCTATTTATAATGACAAACCTGTGCCTTATCTCCAAAGAGCAATACGATTTCAATTCACTATACAAAATGCCTTAGTATATATGGTTCCTGAGATAACTGTTCTATTCTTTTAATCATACTTGTACACTATATTTATATTTACTCAATTTCTTTAGTCTTAGACTTATTATGACACCAATTTTGAGTACTAATAAAAACAGTGTAAAGTAATTATTGTCAAATTATAAGACTAGATTTATTATAATTTTAAAGAAGATTTTTTTTGAAGTTTTGAGTGCTCATATACATTGAGTTAATTTAACAGATCTAAATAATTTGTCTATTAAAAGAACCTAATAGAAGCGAAACAATTTAATATGGATCGTTTATTGTAATAAATCGAAATGACTCTCATGTTACTAAAAGGAGCTAATTTTGTAATAATAAACTCACATAATTGCATTTACCGTAATTTAATATATATCTCGATAGATATGTAGCAATTAGCCACGTTTGCTATATAGAATCCACACGAAATTTATTTAAAAGTGAATGAATGACCACTAATTTTTTTCAATTTATTTTCTGAAATCTATTGATTGTCGTTTCATATGAAGTGTAAACAGATAAAAGCACACATTTAACAGATAAGTACAAACTCGTCATTATTCCAGCATTCCAAGATAATTTAGAATTGAGAACATTTAATAATTTTTTATTAGAGATATTCACGTTACATATGAGTACGGATACATTGTATATTCTAGAGATGGAACCATTAACCAGTATTCAATATATGGTAAGTGCAAAGCTTTAAAAATATTATCAAAGAAAAATTGTTTAGTGATTTGTTTCACTAAAAAGTATTTCCGATCGTGAATACTAATCGAGACTATCGCAAATAAGTTATACTTACCATAAATCGAGACAAAAATATATTAGGTAAATCTCAATTATATGAATTGATATATTATATGAGTGCTATAATCGATGTACATATGGTTTTCACCCAAATCTGATTAGAAATGCATTACATTGTATTTGATGCGGACTATAGAGGACCAAACATATTTTGCAATATTTTTTACGTGGACTTTTACAAATGTTTCACAATATTAATGTGAACTTGAAGTTATCATTTCGCGGATAGAATAATTAAGTGTGAACTGATTGTTAATCCACTTTTCGTCAAATGGTCGAATGACTCTATATTTTGAATAAGTACACCTAATACCAATGCAGTAGATTAGACATCATTTCAAACTATTTGTTAGTATTTTTTAGTTTATTCACTAATTATTCGTTTTGTTAAAATTAGATGATTTTAACATCCATAATTGAATTATAAGAAATAATTTAATGTATATAATATAGAAAAGGTATTGGAACACCGAATTTAGCAGATAATTTCAAAAAATACTTAATAGTTTTCGTTCATAATTCCAGAATAATTGGTTTTAATGATATTTTTGTCTTTCAACTTTGAACTACAGAATTATTTTTGATATTTCATAATTCAGTTATTACTAGATTTTAGTTTTCACAAATTTATTGTAATGTAGAGTGCAGCATAATGACGTTCACCCATGTTGATGTTGTACCAGAAGAAATAGTCTTCTTGACGGAAAGTGATAATAATCACAAGATATAATGACATGCTTTGAATCACTCGAAAGAATGAGACTAAGAATCCAACCATTGAGGGTGAAGCTCAGAACACTGGCTATATAATTATAGAAATTAGGAGAGAACATAGAGATTAAAGTTTACCTACGTCACCAGGTATGGACTATAGTAAGGAAAAATGCAGTAAAGAAAAGGAGATCGCTTGATAGTTTATTAAAGGGTTTATAACCGAGTTGTTGATAACATTACGTAGAAAAGGAGGGAATCGACTGAATGCAATTCATTGGAAATTCAAAATGGTATTAGATAAAATTTAATCAATAAAATTTATAAATCGTTACTGATTAACAGATATCTATTATTTAATTAAATATTTACATAAGAATAGATATTTATTGATCTAACTTAGTATAGTTTTAATTAAATTTTATTTTAATAAAAATATACAATAGATTTTAATTCAAAAATTTGTATTTATAAATAGAAATTATTTTAAAAATTATAAATTTTAAGGTTAAATTTTATAAAACAATAATTTTTATAGAACATAACATAATTATTTTTATTATTATAAAATAAAACATTCTGGTTAAGAATTATTTTTATGGGTTATAAATAATTTATTTAATTAATATATTTGTATTAAATTTTATTATTTTATATGAATTAATCAATAATTTTATAATACGTACAAAATTTATATAAATTATTATTAAAGAAATTGCTGAATTCCAAATAGTTTCAATTGAAATCGAAGCTGATCACCAACCTTTAACGATAGCGGCTTTATATAGCCCTCCACGGCATAATATAGTCAAAGAAAAATACATTGAAGTGTTAAAGGCTCTTGGAGATATTCTTGGTGGCGACTTTAATGCTAAAAATATCTTTTGGGGTTCAAGACTTATTACGACTAAGGGTTCGGAACTTCTAAAAGCTAGTCAACAATCTGGTTGTGAAACAATATCGACGGGAAAACCTAATCCTAAGATACCTAATCTTATTGACTTTTATTGATACCTGATCTTATGAAACTATAGAAAAGTTTCTAAAAGCTTTATAAAATTAAGAATGGAGCTGATCTGAACTCAGATCACTCTCCAATCTGTTTAAATATTTGCAGTTCTATAGTAAAAAAAGAAAACTCGTATTTTCTGGCTAATAAATTCACAGATTGGAAACTTTTTAAGGCACTTACGAATCAATTAATGATAAATCATGTTATCGTCATAGAAGATGAAAACGATATAGAAAAATGTATAGAAAATATACACAAAGCTTGTTGGAATAATACTCCCGTTATAAAGCAGGTTAGTAGTGGCTGCAACTATCCCAATGAAATCAAGCAATTAGTTACCGAAAAACGCAAACTTAGACGGAAGTATGCTGAAGAGAATATTTCGGCTAATATAAAACTAGATAGCGAAATAAAGATACCTCCAGCTTCTGCTCAGGAAATAAAAGACATTACTAAGTCTCTAAAACCCAAAAAAGCTACTGAATTTGACCTCTTGACAGCTGAGTTTCTATAGAATTTGCCAAAAAATGCCATCAAAGTAGTAACATTTCTTATCAACACATACTTCAAACTGAGATACATACCCTCCTTCTGCAAGGTAGCTAAAGTAATAATGGTAGCCAAACCTGACAAACCTGCATAAGAAGTTTCTTCATATAGACCCAAATCCTTGCTATCCATTTTGTCGAAGGTATCGCCTGTTGTCCGTGCAAGTTTGAAGAAGGAGTCCCATTAACAAGTCTTTAAATTTGATTTGTGCATAGGTTTTGGCACCCAATATATGTAAGGCGGATTTCATCGCCACATATTACAGTAGCGGTAAGAGAACGCAGCCTTCTTTGATGCCACTTTGGGTACTAGAAGTATCATTTATTATTGCGTCGTGCAAGATTCTGCATGTTCCTCCCTCATTACTGTTCTTAATTATAGTAATCTCATAATTTTAGCCGGAAGTCCTTTGGCCTCAAGTGCAAGCTCAAAGTCAATGAAAAGTAGCAACGAGTTGAGTTCGAGCGATTGTCCGATAGTGATGCGTATAATATTAATATGGTCAATATTATTAATATAATATGGATATTAATATGGTCAATACAAGATCTTTTGAGAATGAATCCAATCTAGTTTCTATTTATTAGTTTCGTAAGAAGTTCTACTTTTTTGTCTAAGATAATCTAGTTAAATATTTTTGTAACAGAAGAATTTATACTTAGTCCATCTCAATTGTTGCAGTTACGAGGGTCGCTCGTTTTAGGAATTTTTATTATAAAGGAATCTTTCAAATCGTTTGGAAAGATTTTGGTTGGCCATACTTTGAAATTGGGCATAAGAGGGCTGCTGTAGCTTTCGGATTAACTATGAAGCATTATTTTCAAGAGATTTTTTGTATTTATTATTTACTGCACAAATTTCTGATAACACAGGTACATTTACATTAATGTGTCTATTACTGTTTAACCTTCGTCATATATGGAAATCTTCCTCTCTATCGTCAGTGGGTGCTTTATTCTCAGAGTTTTCCATATTAGTGCTAATAGCAGACAGTTTGGGTGAGAAAACATTTCTGTTTTTCTATATCAAGCTTTCTCAAGACAGTTGACCGTTTGTTGATACTTAACCACTCAATAACTTTGAGCTATGCGACGACAAGGTAGTGGTCACCACATATCTCTGCACTTCTTTTATTCCGAACATCGCTGCATATGTTAAAGACATTGTTTGAGAAAAATATGTGGTCTAAGATACGAAGTTTCCAGTTAGAGACTGCCAAGTAATTTTGTGAAATTACTTATGCCGGAAGACTGAGCCAGTTATTTTCAGGTCGAAATTGATACATAACGCAACGAATTAATCACCATTCATATCACGCGTGCCAAGAGCGCGTTTGCTAATTATATTTTCATAGTCATTATTAACAGGTCCAATTTGTTTAATAAAGTCGCCTATCAGAATTACATTGTTTCCGTTAAGGGCGTATAAGACTTGATTAAACTGAATGTAAAAGGCTTCTTTAGAAGGTGTGGTGATTGCTCACGCTCACCTAGTTCAGTGACAGAGTTGTTATCATAAGTGTCATTAATGTCAAGGATCGACCAGCATACCTCCGAATCTGCATTCGACGTCCCTTTGATGGTGCTGTCGGCACTTCCTTCACATAACAGATGTTCGCACAGTTATACTGCCATATACCCGGTCAAGGACATGGAAAATGTTGCTCTTAAAGGGCAAACTGTAATGTCTACTACAGCTACGATGCAAATGGGATGAATTTGGATACGATTTTATGGCTAACAAGAGACTAGTCCCTACGAAATCCATGAAACCAGAGCTAAAAATATGAAA